CTCCGTAAAAGTGGAATAATTTTAAACATTACGTAACGGGTTAACTCTGAGAATCAATTTCTCATTCACCCTCTACCATTTTTGGCGTAATATTTGTCAAAACATTTATCTCATTTAAGAGAAAACACGTCCATTAATTAACGGTCAAAACCGTTACTGGACCTATTGACAAATATACCCAAGTTGGTCCAATTAATGCCTAATAAAAAATGCCAAAAATTCCAACAATCCCCCACATGAATGAAAAATTGATTTGGGGTCGACATTATCCCACGGTTGAAAATCTGCATAGAACATGTAAGTGTCTCCACTTTTGAACATGTCCCTTGTAAAGTATACCTTCTTTAGTGGCTGTTCAGTAGAACGCGATGTTTTTGAACTATACTGCCGCTTGTGTAAACGATAGTATACAATACACAGATTTCAACCAAACGTCGTTCTGTTCTCATGGTTGTGCCCATTTTGGTCGTGGGACACGCGCCTGGTTCTGCGAGAGTGTTTAGAGGATTAAGCCCAAAAATCCTCTGTTGAAGCGACCACACTTCACTCTAACATAGGTGATTCTTTAAGAGTATCCCGATTACTTCCCTTAGACCACCGTGTCTATTGGTTAAGAATCATTAAAGCATATTTATATGCTAACCTCATCATTTTCGGGAGTCACTGTCTTCAGCAGGAACAGAAGAGACTGACCGGAGGTTCCGGTACTGCCCCCATAGTGACAACGCTTAATCCTACAAGTAGGTTGTCCCATTGAACCTGGGTACCAGCCAGGTTGGGTTTTCCTTCATAGGACTTTCCTAGCACAAGGGCTTCAAACCCATTCCTGCCACCAACTTCTCATGCAACTCATTTGTTAACCCTTTGGTTAGCGGATCCGCCAGATTATCTTTTGACTTCACATAGTCAATTGTGATAATCCCACTTGTGAGAAGTTGTCTAATGGTTTTCTGTCTACAACGAATATGTCTAGACTTACCATTATACATGTTACTCTTTCCATATGTTCTTGTGTATTTCTCGATTATCAGACCTATACACTAAGAATCGATACGCGCTACCACTGTAGCCAATAAAGACTCCATCAACGGTCTTTGGACCAATCTTTATTTTTTTTTTCTTTTGGTGGTGGTGTTAAAACTTTTGCAAGGCACCCCCACACTTTCAGGTATTTATAGGAAAGTTTCCTATTATACCACAACTCGTAAGGAGTCTTAACGAGTTTCTTTCGGGGTATTTTATTATGCAAATAATTGCTAGATAAAATAGCCTCCTTTAGGACCAATTTTCTTCTTGTCCTTGTTTCGCTTGGGCCCTTTGGAAGAACCCTCTTTGGGTGGATGCTCCACCACATTCGCTATCCATGCTTCCTTAGCCTGAACCGTTGGCTCGTCCGCGTTCGCCACGTAGGAACGTTGGCGACCAAAAAACTTTGAAGGGAATTGCCGGAAAGTTGGCTGGAAAACCAAGAGCTCTCCTCAAAGTTAAACAAGGACAAAAGTGTTAACTTTTTCCTTCTCCTCTTTTATTTCCCACGTATAGATGCTCTTTTAAAAAAATGAGAAGAGTCCCTCCATTTAAATAGGCATTTTCATGGCTCTTCATTTTGTAACTTATATGCCATGAAGGCACATTCAATAGCCATGACTCACCATCATTAGTAATATTTTTAATGGTGTGTTAATACCACCATTAACATGGGGGTTACACCCATAATGTTTAAAATTCTTCCTATTTAATTTGGAGATTAATGGCCAGTTAACTCCGTAAAAGTGGAATAATT